CAAATATACATATATGTATGTATTTAAAAGTTTGTTAACTTAAAAATGACGAAAGTTATTTTTGTTTGTTGCGAATTCTCACGAAATATTGTTTTAAAAGAAAAAGAGTCGTACAAAAAATGTTTACCGTGTAAAAAACCGTGAGAAGAACTAAATTTTTAATTTTTTTCATAATACTGAATATTTTAGAATTCAAAACCGAGCATCGATCAACTAAAAATACTTCTAAGTAAAAAATAAATAAATAAATAATAAAATTAAGTATTTAATTGTTTAGGGAAATCAAAAATTCAAAAAATAAAAAGAAATGGATTCTTTTAAAATTTTAATATTTTGTTGTAAATTATCATGTGTTACAGGAGAAAACGTTACATAAATTAAAATATAAATACATAGTTGAAAATTAGTTTTTAGTAAAGTTAGAAAAAAGTGTAAGTAAAAAAAAGCAAAAAAAAAACTATTAAATAAGACCACAGCAATTAAAAGCAGAAACTACTTCAGTTACCACGACAGTCGGATCTACGTAACCGGAGCGATCCAGATTTATATCTGGCCAAGGACTTTGGGGAATTTTTATGATGTTAGAACAACAAAAACAACAACTAATGCAGTTCAATATTTAAATGCATTTTTTTTTTTAATTTAATGCCAGATATTATTTCGCTGCTAAAATTTTGAAATTCTAAAAATTCGGCGCTTAAATTTTCGAGAAGTGTTGTATAGCTGAGCTTCTCTTCACAGTTGCGGTGTGCGTATTGATGCTGCCCCAGAAATGGAGGGGTCTATTGCTGCCTACAAAAAGTAGGCTAATTTATTTGAGGCAGAAGTATGTACATATATACATACATACATTCGCAGGTACCGCTCCTATCGAATGGTAATAGTACGCACCGCTACCAACTGCAACAAAAAAAAAAAATTGTTAAAACCGAATCATTTACGAGTAGACAAGTTAATTAACACGAAAATTAAAAAGTACTATCAGGCAGGTTCTGCAATTCAGTTGGCTGAGTTTTTTCCAGTTTAGGTGAATACACTTCATACTATAATTTTTGCACTCTTTTGCTGTATTTCAATGCACTTGCACACTTGCGAAATTTTTGGTGGTCTGTGCTGCATTCTGTTGCCTTCTTGTGATTTTTTTTACATCAATGTAAGTATGTACGTCTGCATGATTAAAAGTCTAAAAGCTATTTCGCTTATTCACTTGCTAGCTTACTAAAGAACGAGCTTAGCATTTGCTCAGTTTTTTTTTTGTTTTGTATTATTTTATTTTCAAAGAGATTACGCTTTCTACTATGCATTTTCCTTTGCGGTCTTTTTCACTTGCATCTTCTGTACGTCTGTTGTTTTCTTCTTCTTTACATTTTCAAGTATTCGACGAGCTTCATAAGTAGGTAAATACAATATTTATTATTGTTTTTTTTTTTTAAAGTTATATACGAATTCCATAAACATATGCACTACAGACAGTTTAATATTTTTAAGTTCTTTTACAAATACTACATATTTATACGATTTTATTTTCATTATTTTACATACATACATGTGTATGTATGTATGTGTGTGTGTGTTTTAAATACATGCTAATTTATATAAGTAAGTATATTTATAGATAATATGTGTTAAGTAATAGTAAGTATACAAGTATGTATTTATATATTTATATAGAGAGTGAAAAGTATGCGTGTATGCGTATTTATAAGAAAGTTTACATCATCATGTGTGGATTATGAGTTCGTTTTTCTTTCACTCGTTTTCTCGTTATTATGACTGTACTACGCTCACTGTTTATAGTTAGCTATTTTATATTTATATAAGTTTGTAAGTGTGAGTCTATATTATTTAAGCTAAAATATGAAATCTAATCAGACATGCTTGTTACCGTTTTTTTACGTTACTTTTTAATATTATTTTGATTTTCTTTTATCCATATACTTTATTTTGCAGTTTCACTGGATTTTCTTTCTTCTTCTTGCTCGTATTTTTAATTTCTGAGCTTCTTGTTCCAGATTGGGTTTAACTCCAAGAGAAAAGGCGGGCATAGCTGCGCTTTGCCGTAGAGAAACACTTTTTTCCGCCGAGTTTGCTCGAGAATATTGATGTAGCTTTTGCTGGCTGTGTTAACTGTATTTAAAATTCAAATGAAAAGAATTTATTTGAAAGTCAAAAGTGGTCTTTTACGCGTGAGGGCACTGATTTGCGCAAGGCTACAAATGTACGTATGTAACTCCAGACACATGTTTAAAAACAATTGTTCTGCAACATTTGAACCAAATGCTTCAACAGTTGCTTGGGACTGTAATTTTGTAGCTGTAGGCAACATTCTCCACAACTCCTGCCAAACATTCCTGGGCGCCTTCATATGTATGTAGTAAATATATGGTGACTATGTACCGGAAGGGCCTACATCACTAAAATTTTTGTAGCCTGTGTTTAGGCGTTTATCGTGCTTTTCTGTGCATTTCTGCCTGCCTGGTAAAATGTTAACTGTTACTCCTTGGCGACTGGAAGAAAGTTATGTTGGGTGATGGTGCAATTTATTTTATTAAAACAAAATTTTTAAACCGACCGAAAATAACCGACTTCAAAACTAATATAAAATAAAAATTTAGCAGTACCGTTAGTTTCTTCATGATCCAGTGATCGGATTCGTATGGAGTCAGCCTTGAGGCACGCACCACCTTTCCGAAAAAAAAGAAATAACGAAAACGGTTCACGAGGTAGAAAGTCATCCGGTCGGTCAAAAATAATGCAGGAATCATTTTTTTATCCATTTGAGAATTAAAAAAAAATATATATGAAGCCAATTTAATAAATAAACTTTTGATACTAGTATTTAATATGAAATTTAATAAACTAAATATTCTAATATTTTTATCGAACATGTCCTGAGTGACTACAAAAATCTGATTGGAAGGTACTTGTTGCACCCAAGTTTTGAAGTTGTTTAGTTTGATGGAGTGAATCGAGAAAAATTGTCCGAACTGAATAAAAACACTATCAGGCAGGTTCTGCGATTCACTTTCTGGAGAATTTCAACCATTTTAAATATGACTTCAAAGTGACTTTGGTTGAAATTCACTCGAAAGGCAATCACAGAACTTGCCTGTATATTAAAAAAAAAAAACAGAATTGTGTCTGCACTTTCAACGGAATTTCCAAAATGAAATTGTAATGTCTCAAAGTTCCTCAAATTCTTCTGTAATTTTCAGTTAAATCTAAGGCAGTGTTGGTGGGCCACTTCCGAGGTACGCATGCAAAGCTGTGTTAAACTTTTTTCTAACTTCAAGTCTCTTTCGTGCAAATAGAGCTTTTAGTCATTCCTTAGAGCTTACGTAAAGCTCAACCTGCATGCTCTGTTTTTGGAAAAGGGCGTGCACAGGCCTTCTGGCCAATACCGATCTGTTACCATAGGAATTTTTTTGTTTCCAAAATTGTTGCATATACTTTAGATCCAAGCATTATATAATCAAAACTTCTCGCTGCTTTTGTTGTATTTCCTTTCTGCATCATTCAAGATTTTGGTAATAGCTTATGGGTAAAAGGTTTATAAATTGCATGTCTGAAAGTTACTAGGAAATTCCTAACATTCGCTATTTGCCAGCCAACTTAAGTTTATCAATATAATTACAATCGTTTTTCTCTTTCTACATGTGCTTGCCAATCTCTGCCACTTCCCCATACCTTTCGCTTCTTACGACTTCACTGTAAGTATATTCGAGCTGCAATAAATGCGGCAGTGTTACTTTTTTATGAAAGAGCATCACTTTCGACGCGGCAATTTGGGCGACTCTGTCAACTGCACGCGTTTATCACTAGCAAATCAAATCTTTTGCGCATGCTCATCGTGTTCATTTTTCGCAGTAATTTTACAAAAAAAGAATCTATTTTAATTTAAATATAACAAAATGTTAAAGTTTGCAATGCAGTCAAATGACGGTTGAGCTCATAGAGGCATGCATTTTTTGATGTTTTTTTTTTTTAGTTTAAAAGTTTATTGAGTCTCCATTGGTTTCACAAATTTTATCGAAAATCTGTTATCCTTTAAAATGTGCACTTTATTTAAGTTTGCCTTTCTACTTAAAGCATGCGCCATTTGACTCGTTGAGTGCCTACAAATTTTGAAATATTAATTGGTTCAATTAGAATTTTTTTTTGTTAAAAATTGTATTTGTTCCTATTAAGGTTTTCTTATCATCATTACAAAATTTTAGTTAGTTTATTTTACACAAAACATTTTGTTGTTAATACAATACACATACGTGTTTTAATCAGTACGCGCATACAAAAGTATATAAACGATTACACAGCAGTTGTTGCGCGTTGAGACGAACGAAAGTGCAGCGACGATGCCAGCCCTGCAGGCGTTAATTTCTAGCTGCAGTGGTTGTGCAGCGCGCCCGTTCTCAGTAGCACACAACGACCTAACTGCGTTATTGACAATTTTACATAAAGTTTTTACAATACAATACAATACAATGTTTACAATTTTGGGTTGAATTTTACATCAGTTTGTCGCACGCTAGGCTAGCAATTGTTTTTTTTTTTTTGTTTGTGATTTCGTTTTGACTTTACAATGTACACATTTTACACATGTTTTCACTTTTGAATGTTGAATGTTTTCTTTTCTTTTGCTTTTGCTTTTGCGTTTACATTTGCGTTTGTTTTTTGTTTTTGTACAATACATGTTTATTCGTATATATATATATGGTATAAGTAATTTTTTATTACAAAGTTTATATTAGATTACATTTTAGTTAAAATCAACACATAATCCTCATCGAGTTACTTCTGGGGGAGGCGTGTCCTATTGTGTATGCATGTCTCTGTGTGTGTGTGTATTCGAGTATACGTCATTTCTGCTGCTTTTAAGCACACACATTAGTTTCATTTTTTTTTTTTTATTACAATACAAAATTAAAATCTTGATATTATGCACGTCCGAAAACTTTAGCGTTTAATTTTTGCTTAGTTCATAAATTTGGTTCTTTGTTGTGTTTTTTTTTTTTTGTTGTCACATACCTTTAGCAGAAAATGCTGCTGTCTAGATATTTTTGCGCTTATAATTACTAAAATAATGTTTACAATTTCTCTTCGCATACCAGCAGCAGAAACTTGTGGTTTTATTTTATTACAATTTATTTATTGGCAAATGTTTGCTTGTTTCATTTTCTTGTGTTTAAAAAAGTTTCTTGTTGTTGTTGTTTTTGCTGCTGCATTCTAAAATCTAATAATATTACTGCTCTGCTTATATTTATAGTGGTGTGTTTACATACATATGCTAAATACTAAATATCTACGAGCGTATGCAAATTACAATATTTATATATGTATATTTTTCATTAATCACTTGTTCTCTTTTGCCCCTAGGGTCAACAAATGGTTAATATTTTGCGCACAAAGGGATTTTGTGTCAATGCAACGAGCGCTTGCGCGGCAGCGATTGATGCATGTATAAATTTGAGTGTAAACGAATACTCTGGCGGTGTGGTGAATTTCTTTTGTGAGCCTTGAATGCCGAAACTCGCAGCTTTCACGAGCTAAATAGTAAAATATAGTTTGTACAAGTTTTATTTTTATCTTTACGTGTGAGTGTGTGTGTTAATACTAAAAGGCGCATTTACAAATTATTTATACTTTTTTTTACAAATTATTAAAATCTTTTTGTTTTTACATAATATTACATCGTTTCTCTTTTTACAAAATATTACATATTTTTTTTACAAATAATTTCATTCAATTTACTGTATGGAAACGAATTTTTATGGTTCTCAACGGCAATTATAACTTCGAATTTGCTTCCGTTTTTTAATAAATAATTATTTACATGCGGCGAAATGGATTTTTGGTTGTGGAAAAGCATAAAACTGGTATGCAATACAGTTGATGGATTTTTTACAGCGAATTTTTTTGGTTGCAAAAAAGTAACGGTACTTCGTTTTACCATTTACAAGTGCTATGTGAACAAATATTTCCAAAAACTATAAAACAAAACTAAAACGATTTGTTAATTTAATTGTGATTTTCTTTTTAATTCGTATGAACGATTTATTCGCATTAAATTGTAGTTAGAGCTGATTTTAACAAATCGATTGCTCCGTTACGAGCAAATAGTATTTGCAATTAAAATTTCGGGTATTTTCGGGTACCATTTTTAAAATTATTACATAAAGTGAAAGCTAGCTAAATTTTGAGGAAACAATAGAAAAATTTATTAAAAATATTTTTAAAACAGAATATACATTTTTTGTTCGTGCTTATGCAGCAACTGTAGCTTATTAAACGTTTTTAAATACGAATTATTTTGCTCGCTTAAAAACCGCACTTTTCATCACTGAACTAAACATTGCTCATTATCCAAAATTAAAAAAAAAAATGTTTTTCACAAAAACATTTGCATAACAGCCGGCAGCCTATAGAAGAAAAATCAATACGAAATCAATTATAAACATTGAAAATTTTTTTGGCGCTTTCGCTTTCACAAGAATTGATTTCCATAAGATTGCTTTTGTATGAAATTTTATACTCGATTTATCCTTTTTTGGGTTAATGAAATTTTTACATGAATTTTTATGAACATTTTTACATGCATTTTTATACATCATTCTAGTTACTCACAAAAACCGACACCAACGCCTCAAATGCTGCCAAAACTAAAAAAAAAACCCTCGTTCAACGCAAAAATCCCATTTGTGCGCACAAACAAGTGCTTAATTGTGAGTTTGGTTTCTTTTTTTTTTTCTTTAAATATACAAAAGTCCTTTGTGTTTCCTTTGCATTTCGCATTATTTGCGTCAAGTTATTTGCGCTCTAACAAAATGCAAGAAATTAAAATTACATACGAATGCTACTTTTAATGTTTGCGTGCTAGCGCTGTGTGTCTTTGCTTTTATCTTGCAATATAATATTTAAATAAGTGTGTGCGTGTGTGAGTGTTTTTCTTTATGTCTGTATGTGTGTTTTGTTTGTTTGCTTGCATTATTAATAAATGTCATGCGAAAGTCTTCTAAAATAATTACACTTAAAACATCAGCACTAAACACTAACAATATAAATTAAGGCGTTCCTGCCCGCAAAACGGCTCTTTCGTATGCCTCGCCACCCAACAACTCATCATTCATAACACAGCATGCGCTATTATCAGCACACGACTACTACGTTCGACTCCGTTATGCCAACGAGCAGCGCGTGAGGAAAAGCGCACACCGAGTGTTTTGGGTTGCCTGTGGATGGGCAATTATTGAACGCTACTAAAAAAAATGATTTTTTACAAATACATAGTATACACTTTATAAAACTAAACTTGTTTGCTTGTTATATCTTTCTTGGTTTCTTGTTTAATTACAAATCTTTTTATCTTTTACTTCTTCTTCTATTCCTTCTTATAATCGAGTGCTTGTGTGTGTGTTGCACGCTTTTACTTCTTCTTTTTACGCTTCATTTGTGTGTGTTCTCTCTCCTGATGCTTTTCAGTTATTCGTTTTTCTCATCAATTTAACAAATTTTATTAGCAACATTCGTTTGATTGACTTTTGAATATATGAAAAAAGGGTGCGCGCTTGCGCTACAAAAGCCTTAAACGAATGCGCTGTACTTAAGCGACGTTGCTGTTTTTATATCTTTTAATTTTCTTAGCTCAAAACTTCTTCTTTGATAAATTTGTTTGTTCTATTCTTTTTTTTTTACAAATACCCTTGAATGTGTGTTTCGTGTTCTGAACGTATGAACGGTCCTGTTTTCTTAGTTCTTGCCAACTTATATCTTTTAAAATCGAGTTGCTGTAGTAAGTTTTCTACAATTTTCTTCAACGATTTTGATGCTTTTACATGGCGTCTAAAAATCGAGCGCCACTTTTTACTTTCGTGTGCAAGCAGTTCAGTGCTTTTGGCATCATTTTATTTTTTCTTTGTTGCTCTTCTCTAATTAATTTTCACTTTATAAAAACTACAATGCATATAAACATGCGCTACATTGTTTTCTGTTTCTGAGATTCTTTTTGCAAATTTCATTTTCCGCGCTTTTGGCGTATATTTCGCGTTTTGCTTGCAAGTATTCTTTTTCATTTGATTTGTGTGTGAGTGTGTGTTTGTTCGTTTTTCTGTTTGGGAAGATTTTAAAATCTAATCTAAATAAAATCGCGAAAAAATACAGCATCTTAAAACTAAGTTACACATTCAAATTATATATAGCAAGTTCCTGCTTTACGCTCGCATTTTGCTCACATTTACTTCCTACTTAATACATGTATGTATAAACTAATAAAACTGTGTTCTTTCTCTTTTCATTCTCTTCTAAATTTTTAATATTTCTTATTCTTCTCCTTTCTCTCCACTTGTACTGCATATCATGCATTCGCTTTTCTATGCGCTTCTATTTTGGCTTTTGTTCTGTACACCGCCCACTCTTTACAATATTACACCGTTGGCAGTGGGTGGTCCAATGGGTCCCAGACCGCTGTTGACAGCTGTCACTACCGATGTGGCACTGCTGCTGTTTGTCGATACGGTGCAAGATGATGCTGCTGGCGATGTCTGACCCACCGCTGTGACACTAATACCATTCTCTTGTATCATGATGGGCGCACCGACCGTAAGGCCGGCAGTCATGCAGTTTGTTGGCGTGGTAATGGTCAGTCCAGCCGCTGTACTGCAAGCGGCTGCTGTGGTTGCGGTTAAGATGCTAGTGCTGCACGCAATCGACGATTGCGATGGTGAGGCGATTGTGGTGCTTGTTGTAGTAATTGGATTGGCTGTCTTCATGAAATACTTCTCCAGTTTGGCATTGATATGCTTGCCGTAGGTGTATTTGCGTAATGCAGCCATATGTGGGCGTATCTTATTCATTAGTTTTTTCAATTGTGTCGGCTCTGAGACGTCGATCATTTTCTGCACCACATAGTTGGCATATTGATCCTTCATCATGACGTGCAAGGCGCTGGGGGAAGAGGAGAACATTAATTAAAATTAATATTTAAAAAAAAAAAATCTAGAAATAGTGGAGAGCCTGTAGAAAAGAAAGCTACATATCGACGATACTTTGGTAATACCACGTACATATGTACCCCAAAACGCTCCCAAACAACACTCTTTAACAAAAAAAAACTCTATTAATAACAAAAAAATAATAATTTTTGATAACTTTTTGATCTGAGCATCAAAAATCAACTGTAGGTTTCACCAGCAATTTAATAGAAAAATAATTTTTCATATTAGATAAATTGAAAAAAAAAATTTCACTTAAGAATAAATATAATGAATCATAGTATTTTAAGGCCTATTTCGAATTAAATTTAAAAGACGCGAAGTAGTCGTGATTTCTGTGATAAGCGGTTTTGCCAAACTCCCGTCGATATGTACATGGTTTGGAATTTTTTTTTCCAACCAACACTCTTTACATCTACAAAATTTTGCAAGCGTATAGTTAAAATTTGTACTCTAAATATGAATTTATGTTTCAACTATGCGCTTGCAAATTCAGCAAGCGTTTAATATTGTAAGCGACCTAATAATTTTATAAGCGATTCCCAGAAAATAAAAAAGATATTATTTTACTACAAATTGCAGCTTTGCTTACAAATTTCCTTCGAGAGGATAAACTTTGTCAGTACAAATTCGTTGAATTATAGTTGTAAATTAGATTTTGAGATTTTGAGAAATATAACTGGAGAACAGTGTGAGCCAGGTATATATCTCGGGGTTTTCGGTCGCGTGGAGCTGACTCTAATGAGTTTTTATGCTGTTGCTATAACATTTTGAAAATCTCAAAAGCTTACAAATTTATATATATTTGATTCGAGTCTACTTTGGGAAGTTAAAGGGAACGTTTACAAAATTTGAAAACGTTTTGCGGTTGCTGGAAATCTAAACATATTTAAGCGTTAAAAAATGAAAAATCTTCTGAAAATTTAACTAACTCCAAAACCTTGCGAACACCCTAATTAGCTTTTGATTTTACTAAGCGCTTACAAATTCAGCTAACATTTATTGTTGTAAGCAGGCATCAAATTTTGTAAACAGCATTGAAAAATAAAATCATATAGTCTAAGCAAAGCCTGTCCATGGCTAAATATCTCAAAAAATTTATTCAGGGCTTTTGTTTTGACCAAATTATTATTTGAGCGATGACTGTGAAAGAAAGAAAATTTACGAAGGTTTTCTACTGACTGAAAAAAGCTTAAAATTCATTACACATTTTACTTCTTTGCAGAAGCGACTTTTCACAAAATATTTATCGTCAAAAATAACTAGAAGCGCATTTTCGATCCTTACTTGTCATTAAAAGTGCACACTTCATCGATGAGAGCGGTGCGTTCGCCGCGTGTGGCATGTGTGACACACTTCTCCACTACATTCGACGCGAATTTATGCTGCGACAAAACCAAAACCTTTCCACGCACGCCGTTAATAAGTATTGATTTGTCTTCGGGTTTGCCGTGTTCTGAAAAACGATAAATAAGTTAGTCATATTTACACAAAACTTATATCTAAGTGTAAAGTTTTTAAATTTTCACCACACTCACCCAGCACATGTTGTATAACATAATTGCCATACTGATCCTGTATCAGTTGCTCGGTGTGCTCGTGCAACTCATCCAATATGGGTTGTGTCTGCTCGGAGGTGCAGTGCTCCAGTATACGTTGTATGACTCGACAGCCATATGGGTGTGTGCTTAGCGTGTATACCTGACCCTTGAAGGCATTTATAACAAACTGCAGCGCCGATGGATCCACGCATTCGATGCACTTTTGCACCACATGATTGCCATTCTGGTCTTTGACACATTTCAATACATTACCATCCAGCTCAAGGACGATCTCTCGCTGCTGCTCCGATGTAATACTCTCCAGCGCCTTCTGTATGACACGGCAGCCATACATTTGCAAAGCCAACTGCAACACATGCCCTTTCACCTGCATGCCCAGTGTGTTCTTTTGCTCCGGTGTGCCAAACTCAAAGAATTTCTGTATAACATAATTGCCGAAAACGTCGGTCATCAAGCTGAAGGCGGAACCTAAAATCTCACTAAACACCAGTTGTTTCTCGGCAGCGGTGGCGCGTTCCAATTTCTGCTGTATGAAGCGCGAGCCATGCTGATCCTGCGAAAATTCCACAATATGATTGGCCAAATCGCGTAATTGTAAGTTGGGATAGCGCTGATTGCGGAAATCCTCGAGCAGTCGCGACCGTCCTGGTTGCGGTGCACCAGCTGCAGCGGCAGCGGCTGCAGCAGCAGCAGCAGCAGCAGCGGACACATTTAGGCCAGCGGCAGCAGCTGCTGCATGACGTGATGAGGCAGCGGCAGCAGCAGCAGCTGCAGCAGCGGCTGCACTACCCGGAATGGCCAGCTTTGAAAAGAGTGAACTACTCGAACCGAACATATTGCCAGCGGCTGCAGCGGCAGCTGCTTGTGCTGCAGCAGCAGCTGGTGGCAGGCCAACACCACCGACAGACATTTGTTGACGATACTTGGTTTCAGCGCCAGGTGCGCGATTAGTGACGAGGCATGATTGTGGCGGCGGCGGTGTAATGGCTGCCCCAATCGGGCTGGCTGAAGCATTGGCGCCCAGCGCGCCATAGCTGTTGGTCATAGCTCCGGGCCATTTGCCGCGTGCAGCAGCAGCGGCAGCGGCGGCGGCAGCGGCAGCCGCTTGTAGAGTGGTGGCGGTGCTGTTATTATAATCCACTGCCGAGGGGCTGAAGGCGGATGTGTTGCGGTCGAAGGAGTCGCGGCGACCGGTCAGCGAGTTGGTGTTCAATGCGAGGCCTGCGTGAGAGAGGGAGAGAGGTATGGAAGAGATGGAAGTACATATGTAAGTACGCATTGTTTAAAATTAATTAACATAAAAGAGAAAATTTTACGCATTTAGTATTGATGTAAGAGATGCTGTAGTGTATGTACATATTTGTATGAACGCAGGTTTTGCAACTAATCCTTAGCAAATGCCATCTATCACGTTTTGTATTATTCCACTTTACTAATAAATTTATTTACATTACGAAGAAGAAGCAGTTTCTAAGAAAATAATGTATATTTGTAAATACATTAGGGTGGATCACTCTAAAAAAAAATCGATACTGCCTTCGCTTTGGATTTATTATTAAGAATACATTAAGAAAATATTAAGATTTACCTGAGCTGGAGTTATTTGGCTGAGTGGAAGATCAACCTATCTCGACAGCCAGTTCGAAAACGCCCAATCTCATAAAACTTTTCAAAAACGCCACACTTAAGAATTTGGTTCAAAAACGCTCTATCTCAAATTAAAATGTATTGAAAATATGTTGAGATAGAGCATTTTTGGATCGGCACCTGAATAGGATTTTTTTGCAACGAATTCTGAAATAGGGCATTCTTGAAAAGTTTTGTGAAATAGGACGTTTTCGAATTAGCTGCCGAGATACTTAGGTCGATCTACCACTCAGCCGCCGATATGTATGCAAGTAGAATTAAAAATATATATGGCTGCTTAAATGTAATTTAATTTTTTAAGGTTAAACAAAAAAAATCGTTTTTATTATAGTACAGAAAAGAAAGTTTTGTTTAAGTGGAACTGCTTTGCTTTTTGCAGTTTCAAATTTGTAAGCACATAGTCCGCAAGATTTTAAAGGTCATGGAGAATTTAAAATACCATGTGCTCACAAATTCAGCGCAATTTAAACTACTTAAAAATTAAAAATTTTGTAAGCACCTACTAAAATGGAAAGCAGATGCCATTCCAGGTCTATTGCAATGTAGGCTTACAAAATTTTAATATACTAGCTAGCATTAAATTATGAAAATATATAATATCAAAATTATATTGACATAAAAACATTGCTTTGAATGTCGACTTATTATAGCATTGATAGCACTGACCAATAAAACATTTGCAACAAAACAATTTGTTCATAATTGAAATCTCAAAGGATGCGTGAAAGCGTACAACAATGTACATACTTTGCATGTAAGTCAAGCAGCAAGAAACCAAATGGTCCGGAAACCGGTAACAAATGCATTATTTATTTGCATGAATTTATTGTGATATTCGGAGCGGATATGAAGCGACACAATGGCTGCTTGATTTAATAAATAAAAGTGTTTGTGCGTATGTGCACATGTGTATATACATACATACTTGATTTTCAGCGATTAAGACTATTATTTATTTAAAGCGGAAATTATTTTTGTTACTGGCGTGAAATTATTGTCTTAAATAATATAAAAATTTGAGTAGGCATCGAAATAATAAATCGATAAACTGAATTCAATAAACCGTATCTCCATATGTATGTACACATAAGTATAACTGAGCAGCCGCATCAATTTTTTCAATAGTATTTTTGAATAATTTTCCTACGAACAATTTTTTTATCTACCTACGAGTATTTAATACCACAAAATAATACATACATATATACTATTTATTTATGTATGTTGTATAAAATTTATTGAAAAATTTAATGCAACAAAGAGATACATAAACACAACCTCAATCATTTGCAGGCGACAAACCTGAATGGAAGAATCTGCATTTTTACGAAGAAATATGAGCGCCCGTGTCCATGACAGCTACATGAACACATACATACATATATACACATGTATTGTACATGCATATCAACTGCCAAAAGCATATGTAAACACTTGCAAATTATTATATTGTATTGCATTGTATTTATTAAAACAACATATTGTTGGAAAATTAAACAAATGATGTCAAAAGAATGGCTAGCAGGATGCTATTCGTAGTTATTAGTTAGTATTTGGTACAAAATGCAACTACTCGAACATCATAAGTAATCTAAGTCTGCTGAATGCACATGAGTTAACATTTCAAAAGATTTAGAACAGATGTTTCGTTGTATCAAAAAATCTTTATTATTGTGAATATATTTTGCAAGCATTATTTGCATTTTGTCAGCAATTATTTTATTGTTTTTATGACATACTTGGTATGCCAATAAGTTGTGTGCTTACAAAATTTTAAAGATTATAGAAAAGGGAAATGTAGAAAATAAATAGCAAGCAATTTAGTGAATCAACTAAAAAAAAAAACGAACACTGAAATCAATGAGAAAGAAAATATAAGAAGTTAAAATAATAAAATCTGCACTGTATTAAATAAAATAGCAAAAACTCATGAGCGCATAAAACTCTTACGGAAAATTTGTAAGCAACTAGCTAAGGGCGCGTAAAATTGCCTGCAGGATACTGTAAAGTTGATAAGCATACACAAAAGCCGAGCTGAAGTAAATATCATGTCAAACAACTTTATACTTAAGTATAAATGAAGTCGCATAGTTTATTGTAAACCCTGTTACCTAAGAAATTTCTCAATGAAAGCGTATAGCTAAAACTGACAAGTTATGAACTTGAGCTTGTTAAAATTTCTAAAATTTCTTACATATGAAACGAGTATGTTAGTTCATTTAAGGTCATGATCACAGTACAAAATTAATTATTATCAAAAGTTTAGCCATCGATTTGTATATTCAGACTGTGCCTCTAAGCAGAAATCACACGATTTGAACATTTGTACAGATTTTAAATTTTGACAGTCACAGAGCGGCGTTGTCAAGAAATTTGTGTCGAGAAAATGTACAAATCGTGTGATCCAATTAAGATTTTAATTTTTGTATCTGATTTCCAATTTTCGAATTGTGCTGAATTATTATTAACAGTGGCTTACAACGAGCTGTGAAACGCATGCTAAGTGCATTAATTGTTGTAAGAACTCGCTGCTACACACACTTGTAAGCACTTAATTTGAGCATGTTAAATTGTAAGCAGAATATGAAATGGAATTCAGTGCTTTCTTACTTTATAAGCACTACTTGAAATATATAAACATTTTGGCAAGGCTCTACGAAAATTTGTAAGCACTTAACTCAATATTGAAATCTAATTCAGCATATTTTTGCATTGTAAGCTTTACATACAATTTTTAAGCTTTATAAAATTTGTAAGCAAGCATCATCATAAGTAAAAAACATAACCAATAATATAGTATCTGATATGTTTAGACTTTCTATGAGCCTTAGATAATTTTTACATAATACACTCAAAATTTGTAAGCAGAAAGTTTAGGGAAACTTACGTTGCTCGCAGGATACTATAAGCAAACAAATATAAACAAGCTGACAAAACTGACACGACGAAGTTAAATCCAGCGCTTTTTTGCCTTGTAAGCAGTACTTTAAATTTGTAAGCAAGCAAATTAAAATAATAAAGATAACACATAATTTAGTATTCTAGATGCCTAAACTATCTACAAGCTTTAATTTATATAAATCAAATTTAAAATTTGTAGGCAGCAAGTTCGGAGAATCTAAAGTTATGCGTAAAATAGTAAAATTAAGCAAATATAAACAAGCTGACAAAATTTACGCAGCGAAGCTTAATTCAGCACTTTTGATAACCTTATAAGCGGCGATAAAAATTTTTAGAACAAGAAATTCACTAAAAATTACACACATTGACTGTTATGGAGTTCACCACCAAAGCAGCTGCATTAACTTGATTAACTTTACGACATTTCAAATTTGAAGTACAATAATTCCACTATTCTTATACCTAAGACAGATAAAACTCAAGTTTAGTTATCTATGCATGACGCCAATTTCGCTACTTTTAAGAATGTACTCGTGGAGAGAGGAGAAATGTTAATTGAGTGCGGCGAAAACTTGGGGTTGCGTTAAGTGAGTAAGCAGAGAGAGAGTCGATGAGGACAGCAGCTTACGACCCTTAATTGTTTACTTTATTACAATCGTTTAAATTGTCTTTTATATATTTGAAAGTGTCTATACAGAACTATGCACTTCCATACATATGTATAATAATGTGCCTCTTTCTGAATATGCCAAGGCCATATGTAAACTTATAAGTATCCATGCAATGATGCATTTTATATTGTCATTTGACAAAGAGCAATAAAATAAAACAACGACACGTTTAAGCGAGGGGCAAGTATATTCACAGAAGAGCAAGAGGATTTGTTACACAAATGAATGCATACAATTTAAAAGGGAATTATTCATTTGCGATACGACTGGCAAGTCTTACACAAAAAGGGAGAGAGTCTGAAGCACTTACTCCCTATTCAAATATAGTAAGATAATAGGCAAACGTGCCACTGAAACCACAGGAAAGAGCGTACGAACGAGAATGTGGATAGGACTATGGGCTCAAAAGTGTCGACTGTGGCATAACAATTAAAGCCAAGTGCACACAAGAATACTCGAGTGCATGTTTGTGTGTAATTTTGAATGTATGAGAAAAGTAGGATAAACGCAGGAGTATTCTACAGGCAACAGGCTGCTATGAGCCAAACTGGAATTCACATAAGACTGCAAGACAAACGTTCGTTCAGGAGCTTAGCTGTACCTGTAAACATAAGTATGCATGCATGCAATATCAGTGCAGAGGGGCACAACTGTTTGCTGCTTGCTGCTAGCTGCTACTGTTCCTATGCCAATTGTCACTTACAATGCAAGTGACATTGCTGTTGTTGTTATGGCTGCAGACGAGTCGCTAACATTGCATAAGGCACGTGTTGGTTACAGGCCGATAGTAAATGCAATTGCAAACCGTAAAAAAAAAATTGAAGGAAAATTGCAAATGCGAACGGCAAAATAACAGATGAAGATAAATATGGCGAAGCAGGCTTTGATGTAGTACAATGCAAAGAAGAAAATACTTTGCTAGTATCAGACGTGACAAAAACTGCATACAGTTACGATGTGGCGCATTAACTGCCAATCCAAAACAACCAAACGCCATGCGAA